TTATAGGTCAGATTGCCACTGTTGAATATTCTATTACGTTTAGTTAAAGCGCCTGGACTTTGGCATGGCATAGTAGATGTTTTACGGCGCTGTTGACACAGAAATGACAATTACAGCGCCAGCGAGGACCTTGCTTTGATATTATTTTTGGCTAGTGTTTATTTCTGACGTCTTTTATTTCATGTTCGTGTGTGCTTTTAGTAAAATAACATAAAATTTTTTTGGGCGGCACTGCACGACCGTGCTCTATGGACGAACCGTGCCTGATTTTAATGTATGTAAGTGCTCTCTATAAATGTATCGTTATATCAGTATTATTATTACAGGTAAGCGAGCTGTTACAACTCTGTCTGCCAGAGCCATCAGGGCTGAGAGAAAAAAAATAGTGAAAAGGCGGAGATACTCGATAAATATTTCACCCACAAGACTATCAAACTCATGTATTCCGTGTGCAACTCTTATGTCACTGGCATCTTTTTTAAAACGTTGACTTCGCACTATGAATGCATCTTTTGAAACTTTACAATAATAATATATATTTTTTAAAACTCGACAATGTTTGAAGTGCTTCAACAATATGGCATCATAGCTTTAATTTAAGACACAGTCATCGAATGCAAACCGTTTTGTCCTTTAAGGTAGGCCAATAAAAGTAGATTGTCAAAACCTGTTCTAAATAGTATCGAAAAAGTGGAAGACAACACCTTCCCTCCCTACGAAATGTATTTTAAGCACATCGAGAGAGGGTAGACCTTAATCAAAATTCACATTAGCGCCAAAAACGCTTTGTTTCTAGCCAGCATTGATGTTGCTTATTGACTGATATTCCCAACATATACATTATTGTTATAATTATGTTCTTTGTGTAATTTTTTGTTTGTTCAGGCATTTCTGTAAAACTTTGCTAGGGATAGATAGAGGCAGGCAGAAAAAGAGAGAAATGAAAAGAAAGGATCACTAATGGTCATTGGAACTGTATGTTGCACATGTTCTCAGTATTATTGTAAAACACACTGGACGGAAATGGCCTTCATCAGTGTAATGTACAACAACAACAACAATAATAATAATAATAATAATAATAAAAATAATAATAATAATACATTGTAATATTTAAAAAATAGTGGTTAGGCTGCCGGACCCGTAATCGTGAGATTAGTGTTCTGGGGTTTGAGCCGCGAGCCCGATGTTGTGTCCTTGGGAAAGACACTTTACATGGATTTTCCCCACTTCACCCAGGTAGGAATGGGTAACCAGCTATAGACAGTGAAAGATCTTGTCAGTTTGTTAGTGTTTGAGCGCTTAACCAGCTGCTTGCACAGCATGCTTCCCGGGAAGCTGAGAAAGTTTCTGAGTGTTCTATGGTCGGCTGGGGTAATAATATAGTGTAAAGCGTATAAAGCTTGCTTTCTAGTGGGTACATACGCTATACAAATGCTATTTATTATTATTAGAATATTAGCCTATGATTAGACCATCATGAAAAAATACTCCTAAAAAAGTCATTAACATTGAAAATATTTTCTCATTGTTGTTCTTGACACGTACTATCACCTACTAAACTGTGTCATAGTTTACCCCGGTAGATTTAGCTTGTAACATTTTCTCATTTACACAGTTCAAGAAATCTGGATAAAGTGCATTTTGCCATGAAACCCCTCGTTTGCCTCTATTGTTGTTGAAACTTCAAGGCTCGGTCATATTCTATAGACAATGATAATCAGCACTGGCGTTTGTGGTGTGGCGATTTAGACGCTTCGCTGTCACATCCAGAAAACCCTAGTACGATTCCCTAGTGTTTCTCCTTTCCACATGTATTGGTCATCCTGACACGCAGGGTAGAAATAAGCCTCCTCAATTATCTTTAGTGTGTCGATGGGATAGAAAAACACTCACATTTTTGCTGTGATCACCACTCTCAAATTGCTAAATCATGATGTAGTAGTGGTTTCCCTTCTACATTTTTTTTCTTCCTCTCGTATGATCACACCTCCGTCGTGAGGGACATCAAACTTGACAGCGACTTAAACATCCTTACTCCGTTTGCCAGACGTGTTTCTTCGAGATTTCTGAAGTTCCTCCACGTAGACGTGGCTGGAACCCTTAGTAAGGAGATGGACGCAACAACTTCAGACGTCCTGCCTCTGTTTTATCCTTTTAGTAAGCATTTTACGGCATTTGCTACACATTTAGGTTCTATAAGTGCCGAAGATGAGAGATGCTACAAGAGAGAAACAAAAACACAAAAAAGAAGGACGAGAGATAAGAATGATAGGAGTGTGATAAGAAAGAAGAAGCAAATCACACCCGAGAACCTGTCACGCAGCCACTTCACAGGGTCCTGCCTCTGGGTTTTTTGTACTGCAATGAAACAGGCTTTACCTTATATCGTACAACGAAGAGTTTCACGGCAAAAACACGCTTTGTTCTATCATACTATGGGCATCCTTTCTGTGAACAGCTTAGTCATTGACGGCAGAAGGCCAATGTTAGGAATATGGGGCAGATATAGGTGACTAATTGCTGTCCTGGCCCAGATATAGGGACTGCCAGGCTTTAAAAAAACCCTCAGCCCTCAGTACCAAAATTATGCGTAGGTTTTAAATTCTAAAATAATTACGAGCAATAATGCATTGCTACAAAAGACCTCAAGCGTATATTTTATGAACACAAAACAGGACAATGATACGTTTTATTTCTCAGAAGGGGGGTGGGGGAGGGTTGAATTAAAGGTTCTACTAATTATGTTGCTGCTCTTGTAATTGTTGTTGCTGTTGTTGTTCTCGTCGTCGTCGTTGTAATCGTTGTTGTTGTTGCTGTTGTTGTTGCTGTTGTTGTTGCTGTGTTCTCGCTCAAGTTGTGTCTTTCTTCTAGACACCGCGTCGATCCTTTCTGGGCAGAATCACTCTGACCAGTAATAATTTATTTATAGCAGCTGGCGTCTCTGTAAATAAATTTTATTATTAATGCCCTGAGTGGCTCTTCTCAGAAATGGTCCACACGGCGTCTTGTCTTGACTTCTCAAATGCATTCAAATTTAAATGTTCAACTACTCTGTTGTAGTTCCCATACATAATGCACTGAACAACGGCGGACGTCTAGGGTTAATGTAGATCATTAAGGCTTGTGTTTTATTGTCATTTTATTGTTTTACACATAGATGACGTCTTGTTTCCGAAAGTACAATGGATATTCAGGTGCTTTTATTGATTCTGATACTGAGCTATGCTGTTTGGTGAGCCCCAGCAACGTTCTAAGGGAAACGTCATACATGGACAGACAAAAGGATCAGCAGTTACCTTCCTTTTGAAATTTAATGTTATAGGCAGAAAAGGAACACGGGCACGAGCTCGTTACATTCAACTCTGAACGTGGGATTTTCTACGAAATTCCCTCTCCTTGTACGTTAGTTGTTTACGTCTACTGCCCTTGTTCATGCATTTTAACAAAAAACCGCCCCTTTTGTTTAGGGTTGGTTCCAAAACGGCACCACTTATTCCCGCAGAGTTAAGACTCATTAAGAATACGTTCACGCTGTATTAAATCGTTGTTTCACTTTGGTGCTGCAGAAACGTTTTAGCTGAACTAGAATACTTCAGTTTATAATGGGAATGGAATTAATTCGCCTTTATGCCACTACACCATTGTGCTTAAAAAGTAGAGGGATCGTAGTGACAGACGCCACAGGGTTTTGCTTAAGATGCTTTATGGAACTACAAAAAATTATTCGGGTTTTGTTTTTCATTTAGTTTTTGAATATCTTTTTCTCAGATGTGCTTTTTAATGAGTTTTTAAAAATTATATTATATGAAAGACAAATAGTCAACGGTTTAGTTATAATTCTTGTTTTTGCAACACACGATCGGGCCATACCCGTCCATCACTTTGCTATTTTGTTTTACATTCGCTTCGGAAAGGTACAAAAAGAATCGTTTCAATGTAACGATGCCTTACAATCCTAAATAAAAGCACGACAGCATTAAAATAGCTGTTACTCGGGATCTCACGCTCGGGGATAGGTATTTTTAGAATGCTCCGAGTAGGACTACCTGCAGCACTCTGCGAACTAACTGCACAAAAAATAAATGCATACAGCCTTTTAGTGCATCAATATTTATGTTACAGATGTGCTTTAGAAGGTTACCAAGGCGACACGTATGCTGTGCAGAATGACCACCATCTTGAGCTCATCAATGCCTCCATCCCTTTGAACGATGATGGGAACATGCACAAGTGCAATATTCTCACGGGAAATGAGGATCTGTGGAACTCTTCCGTTCCTGCTGGGAACGCTACCGGAGTCGCTCAGTGCACCAAGTGGGTGTACGACAAGACTATGTTTGACAGATCCCTGATAGAAAAGGTGAAAGGTCGACACTATCTGCGTGTATAGTTTAAAAATTTATTTTAAAGAGTGCTTTGGTTGTTATGTGTAAGCTATCATATGCGTCAGGAAAACTGTGTCTATGTGTTTGTATGTTATATATTTACATGTTTTTGTGAGTGTGTTTTTGTGTGTGTGTGTGTGTGTGTGTGTGTGTGTGTGTGTGTGTGTGTGTGTGTGTGTGTGTGTGTGTGTGTGTGTGTGTGTGTGTGTGAGAGAGAGAGAGAGAGAGAGAGTATGTATGTATGTATGTATGTATGTATGTATGTATGTATGTATGTATGTATGTATGTATGTATGTATGTATGTATGTATGTATGTATGTATGTATGTATGTATGTATGTATGTATGTATGTATGTATGTAGGTGAGAGGGTGGGTGGGTAGGTAGGTAGGTAGGTAGGTAGGTAGGTAGGTAGGTAGGTAGGTAGGTAGGTAGGTAGGTAAGTATGTAGGTAGGTAGGTAGGTAGGTAGGTAGGTAGGTAGGTAGGTAGGTAGGTAGGTAGGTAGGTAGGTAGGTAGGTAGGTACAGGGTGATCTAAAAAAACCCAACTGTACAGCCTTTTTCAGAACATCTGGCACAAAAATTGTTCTAGAATGCTGTAACTTTGAACA